GTTCTGCTACGACACTCCATGGGTTCAGCGGTTGCCGGGACCAGGGGTTCTTGGACAGTCAGCATAGCGTTGTTGGTTTATTTCGGGCTTTCGGAAACCCCTGGAAGAAAGGGTACCCTAAACCCTAAACCCTAAACCCTAAACCCTAAAGCCCAAACCCTAAAGCCTAAACCCTAAACTACGAGCACCAGAGGCCCAATCGAGGTCTGTTGGGCTTGAGGACCACGCGGATCCTGCTTGGTATGCGGGCAAATGAGGGGTAACCGACAAACTCCCGAGGTGCGACAAATGCCCACGCAGCTGCAGGGCAACTCGCTGAAAACGCCTTCTGAGGGTTTAGGGTTTCGGGTTTAGGGTTTAGGGTTTAGGGTTTAGGGTTTAGGGTAACTAGTAGTCCTATGCCTGATAAGCACCCGAAAACATGTCTATCCTATATCGCGTGAAACATGAACAGTCTTGTCATCATGTTCATTAGCAAAGCCAGGCCATCGTGACCTTTGGAGACATGACATGCCAAACCTTCTGACTCGTTTCTTCGCCGAAGCACACTTGCACGGCTTCATTAGCCCCTGGCCTTTTGCAGAGGAAGCCATATCCGAATAGAGTCGCCGAAAGTATAACCTTCTGGTGGTTCTTAGCAGGAAGATACTTAGGTACCCTAGATCCCTACACAACCCTTTAAGGGATTACATGGGTACCCTCATTCCCTAGGAAGAACCAGTAGGCTAAAGCCGCCGACTGGAAAACCTGTACGCTGTTCTGTGCACGAAATCGATCTGCCACTCGCTAGGTTGGTTGCCTGGTACGGTTTAGGGCTTTAGGGGTTAGGGTCTTAGGGTTTAGGGTGTTTGGGTTTAGGGTTTAGGGTTCAGCGTTTTAGGGTTTTAGGGTTCAGGTTTCAGGATGACAGAATCCAGTGTTTAACAGGCTTTTTGGGCCTCCTTCAGTCGCCATCCTCACTCTTGTCTGAGGCTTCCGAGAAATGAACTAATCTATTCCGGAGGAAAATGGCAATATTATATTACTATTTCAATAAGATGCTAATTCATTTTTTCCATATTTGTATTAGACTATTGCTGAACAGAAAGTTCCTAAAGCGATTATCTATTTCATTCGAAATTACTTTCCCGTTTTTCATTTCGTTCCCTTGTAATTCAACTGCAATCCTAAACGAGGGGCAATTTATGGCAATTTATGGATAGTCTATGCAACGGGCCGGGGCGGATAACGCCGTCGCCAGTGAAGAAACTCACGAAATATGTTGCGTGACCCTTTGGAGCCATGACGTGCCCTGAACCTCCGAACCGTTTAGGGTTTTGGGTTTAATTAGGGTTTAGGGTCTAGGGTCTAGGGTTGAGGGTTTAGGGTATAGGGTCTTTTTTTTCGAAGCACACTTGCACGGCTTCATTAGCCCCTGGCCTTTTGCAGAGGAAGCGCTATGCGAAAGTATAACCCAAAGAGCCCAATATCCCTGAATTAGGGAATATTGCTTAATTTACATGAGGATACTTAACATGATTCAGGGAATATTCCTTAATTTATATAAGGATCCTTAACATGATTCAGGGAATATTCCTTAATTTACATAAGGATCCTTAACATGATTTAGGGAATATTCCTTAATTAAGAGGTATTGGGCTCTTTGGGAAGTCTGTCGACTCGAAGAACTCTGTACGTGTGTTCAGTCGGGCCATTTGACGGTTTAGGGTTTAGGGTTTAGGGTTTAGCGTTCTCAAGGGTTAGCTTGGTGGCCTGGTATAGGGTTTGGGGCTCAGGTTTCAGGGATAAAGAGTCTAAGGTCTAGACTCTGCAGAACAGGCTTTTCGGGGGTTTGAGGTGTAATAGGGTTTAGGGTTTAGGGTTTAGGGTTTGCTTCTTTCAGTCGCCATCCTCACCCTTGTCCGAGGCTTCCGAGACGATAAAGCGGACCACGCTGAGGAGGCCGTAAACTCCAAGAAAGAAGCCGGCCTGGGTTTAGGGTTTAGGGTTTAGGGTGTAGGGTTTAGGGTTTAGGGTTTAGGGTTCAGGGTTTAGGGTTTAGGGTTTAGGGTTTAGGGTCGCCAAAACAGGTTTGAGGCTTAGGATCCCTGAACCCTAAACCATAAACCCTACAACTTTTGCACCCTAAGCCCCAAACCATAAACATAGACCCTACGTTTGCAGGGAGCACTATCTGAGCAGAGCTGCACTGAGGGGCTAAAGGCCCTTGGCGCCCAAACGAAGCAAAACCCAGGCCAACTACAATTTGGCCCTTTGAACCCTAAAACCTCGGTTAAATCATCTTCTTCGCCAGAGGAGTCTTTCTTGATACGTGTCTATGAACTATTTCCACTGCACTAAGGTTGTTGGAGCCGTTGTTCTGATTTTGGGCATGATCAGAGGGGCACGCGACATGTGCGCATAGCGGAAGATACCTGCAAAGAAATCCCCGCAAGGTATGGCAAAGACTGCTGGAGAGTGTGTCGCTTCAAGGAAAAAGAAAACTCAGAATGCTGATCTGCAGTCTAGGGTTTAGGGTTGCAGAGCCAGCCCACAATCATGGAGTCCTTGTTAAGCAACTTGCAAGAAAAGACCCCACGAAGCCTCCCCATCGCACCACAAAGTGGTACCTCTCTGCACCCCCTTCGGGCGAAGGGGCGGAGGCTGGGCTGGCTGATGTGCTACCGCTGTCGGCCAGCCCGCCGAAAGCAGCGGTTGTTTCTTGGCCATTGTCAAAACAACACCCAAGCAAAGCAGACTGCCTACCCGGCCTCCCGATCACTTGATAAACGCTTGCCAGGGTTCAAAGGAACCCTTTCAATCTCACAGCCTCCTGACCCAACAGTGTAACAGTGAACCCTAACCTGAACCCGAAAACCAACCCCGCAACCCAAACCCGAAGCGCGTAAGCTGGCCATGCCCAAGCTAGGATGGCCCTCTTGGTAGCCCAGTAACCATATTTTGATAAGGGCACCCTTTTTGGGTTGGTCATTTTATAAGGGAACCCATAACCAAAAAAGGGTAAAGGGTACCCCGGCTACCAAGCCCTCAAAACCCTCCGAAAAGTATTCCTGAACATGATCCTCCTGAACCCTAAACCCTAAACCCTCAACCCTAAACCCTAACCCTAAACCCCAATGTCCCAAGGGCCTACCTAGCAAGGGACAAGGGTCTCGAGCTTCTGGCCGAGGCGCCCTGCCAAGAACCGGTCCGGCAAGGGCCGCCACGGAGGCGGGCAGGCTCTTCCTTAGGGTTTAGGGTTTAGGGTCTAGGGTTTAGGGTTTAGGGTTTAGGGTTTAGGATTTAGAAGGTAGAGGGCTTAGGGTTGAGAAGCTGCCACATTGGCATCCCCTTTGGGGGGGCGACTCGTTTCTGTCTTGGAAGGGAGCCCAATATTTGGAACTGCTTCTGTGCCTCTTAAGGCTTAGGCGTTCTTCTCAGGTGGTCGTGGGGATCCTTGGAAACCCCCCCCCCCCCCCAAGGACTCGACATCCCCACAAACCAATGTTGGGTTTAGGGCTTAGGGTTTAGGGTTGGGATGTTCCCCCTTATACTAACAGTCCTTAGTAGGGATTATCGTACCCCTACTATAATCCTATTAAGGACTGTTCGAACAGGGGGGTACCAGGTTCGGGTTGACCTGACCAAGGTTTGTTAAAGTTTCGGGCGTTTTGTTGGTTTGAGACTCCCTGTACCAACGGGACACACCCTAAACCCACAACCCTAAGCACAAGAACCTTACAGCCCTAAATCATGACCCCAAAACCCCTGCACGCAAAAAGCAAGGCCCTGAACCTCACACAAAGGGAGCTCTGCACCCTCCTCCCCCCCCCCCCTCCCCCGTGTTTATAGGTAGTTTGTAACTGGCTTATAACAGGTAAGGATGACGATAAGAACTGGTTCGAACCCAATTCGGGGCACTTGCAGCCCTGCTTCGAGCTACCAATGAACCGGAATTAGGGTTTAGGGTTTAGGGTTAGGGTTTAGGGTGGGCGAACAGACAACATCCAACCACCTTTTGCGACCAGGCAAGATGTCCAACCCCCTAAACCCTAAAACCTCCGAACCCCAAAGCCCCAACGGTTATTAGGAGAGTGTATCTTATAACTCTTAGAGGGTTTTACGGGTAGGACCCCTGTACTGTTGCAGCCTCCTGCAATTGACCCGCAAACCCGAACCTCAAAAAAAAACAAACAAACCTCAAACCCTGAACCCCTCAAACCCCCTACACCCTTCCACCTTCAACCCTAACCCCCCCTCTTCTCCACCTGAGAAAAAAACACCCTAAACCCTAAACCCTAAACCCTAAACCCGAAACCCTAAACCCTAAACCCTAAACCCTAAACCTTAACCCTAAACCCTAAACCCTAAACCCTAAACCCTAAACCCTAAACCCTAAATCAGTCGCAGGTTCAGGGCCCAAGTTCCAAGTCCGAGGCCCAAAGGCACCTCGAATTACAGCTCGCCAGCGTCGGAATGTTGGAGAGGTTGTGAGATTTTTTTGGGTTTAGGGTTTTAGGGATTTAGGGTTTAGGGTTTAGGGTTTTAGGGTTTTAGGGTTTTAGGGTTTTAGGGTTTTAGGGTTTTAGGGTTTTAGGGTTTCAGGGTTTCAGGGTTTCAGGGTTTCAGGGTTTCAGGGTTTCAGGGTTTAGGGTTTTAGGGTTTAGGGTTTTAGGGTTTTAGGGTTTTAGGGTTTTAGGGTTTTAGGGTTTTAGGGTTTTAGGGTTTTAGGGTTTTAGGGTTTTAGGGTTTTAGGGTTTTAGGGTTTCGGGTTAAACCCTAAACCCTAAACCCTAACCCCCTAAACCCTAAACCCTACGGAGGTTGGGTTTAGGAATCTAGGGGTCTGGGGTTCAAGGAGGCTCAGCTGCAAAGGGATGCAAAGGAGTTTAGGGTTTCAGGGCTTCCCATCCGAAAGCTAGGTGTCAGGGTTTTAGGACTTGCGGAATTTTAGGGCTGGCGCGCTTCCTCTCTCTCTCTGGAGGGTCCTAATGCTTTTTGGGTCTGGGTTTAGGATTGCAACACCCTCCCTCCCTCCCTCCCCCCCCCCCCCCCGCCGCCCAAACAGCCCCATGGTCCGCGGCTTCGATTCGGACTGGTGGCTTCTCTCTGTGGAATCCAAGAAGCGTAGTGCACCCACAATTCTAAACCCTAAACCCTAAACCCCAAAACCCTAAACCCTAAACCCTAAACCCTAAACCCTAAACCCTAAACCCTAAACCCTAAACCCTAAACCCCAATACGCGCTCTGAGGAGCGCAAGGTTGAAACGATTTTTGGGGATGCTAGGGATCCAGGTTAGGACTCCACACCCTCATGGCTTAGGGTTGCTAGACCCTATGCTTGGGATGTTCCCCCCTTATACTAACAGTCCTTAAGAATTATATTAGGGGTACCATAATCCCTATTAAGGACTGTTAGTATAAGGGGGAGCATCCCAACCCTACACCCTAGCCCTAAATCCCCTAAGCCCCCTGACCCTAAACCCTGAACCCCCCCTAACCCCGCTAAAGCTTCAGCACAGGCAATTCAAGCCTACCCCAAAAGCCTGCAAACTTGAAGCCGCGCCTAAAAGCCTTACCTGTCCTCCTAATCGCCAACCCCCCGCCCCCCCGCCGCCACCCCCCAACTATCTCGGCACTGCTTGAGTCATGGCGTTCTCATAAAGGTTCATTCTAGGGTTCGGGAGTGGTTGGGAGTACTAGGGAACCTTGGGTGACATACCCCCTTGAACGGCCCTCCCCTCTCATACACCGCTCCGTGGACTGCCACGCTGGACCAGGCCACCAGAACAACCAAGGTGGGCAAGAGGTTGAGGAAAATGTCTATGAGGATGCCCACGGTAAAGGAGAGCACTCCTGCGTGTCACATGACATGGAAAGAATTCTGGAATGCTGCCCTCGGCCAAACCCTACGCCTCAAGCATCCCCAAATTTAGAATCCCTAAACGCTAAACCCTAAACCCTAAACCCTCAACCGTCAACCATCAACCGTCAACCGTCAACCGTCAACCGTCAACCGTCAACCCTCAACCCTAAACCCCAACCCAACCCCAGATATCAGAATCCCTGGAGCGCTGGATTTGAAGTATTGTGCCTGCTCAGGCTTTTGGGTGGCAGGAAACACCTCATCTCTCAGAGCCCTGACGGACATGGTAGGGCATTTCGTTTCCTTGACACAGCTTCTTCAAAGGTTTAAGCTTTAGGGTTTAGGGAGAAATTTTGTGATCGCCTGAACAGCGCGCCAGTTTAAAAGTTCAACGTCCACATTCTGGGAAAAACACAAGGTCTGATGTAATGTAATGGCATTTTTAGGGCTCCTGACCTCAAACCTCCGCAACTCCAAGCAAGGCCTTTAATCATCCAACGACCCCTCCGCGCCCAAACGAAACCCAATCCGTCCTAAGAAAATGGCAAAGATGAAGCCCACGACGAAGTTCACGATCTTCTCAGAGAAGGTTGCTGCCGTTTCCGCCATCTCGAGCGGGAGCCTTTCGCTTGGGTTTTTCAGGTTTAGGGGGTTCATGTTGGAGACATTCGGGTCGAAGGCTTGACGTTTACGTTAGGGTTAAGGGGTTTTGGGCTGGAGGGCTTCGTTGGGCTTGGTTGGGTTCAGACATGTTCAGACCTCAAAGGGGTGAGTGGCAGCGTGCACACATTGTGGATGCCTTGGGATGTTCTACTTTCTACTGACAGCCCTTAATCGGCATTATATGAGGGAGTACTGTATTCCCTAGGAAGGACTGTCAGTATTCCCTAATGGGGATTTTCTTAGGGAGTACTAGAACCCTAAACCCTAAACCCTGTTCCCTATTAAGGACTGTTAGCATAAGGGGGGACATCCCTATCGATGCCCTTACTGCGTCTGCAATGCGTGCCCGAAGCTTGGGGCTCAGGATGGTCGAAGGTTTAGGGTTTAGGGTTTAGGGTTTAGGGTTTAGGGTGTAGGATCGGGGCCAAACACTGCGGAACACTTGTGCGAGATGCTTGTGCAGAGGTATGTTCAATCATGGTGGGTGAACTGGCGGGTGAGTTGGCGGAAGCTTTGGCAATACAGATGTGTCATTGAAGGCTAGTTCGGATCCAAGACGCTTCATTGCTTCGGCAGCGAGCTTCTTCGAATAGACCAGCTCCATTTCTCCCCAAAGGCTCACCCTGATGTACCTGACGGGCCGGCAAGAACACGACCCTGAACCCAAATCTTTTTTAAAAGTCTTTTCATGTTAGCTTGTGATGGGGCGAGTGGTGTCACACGCAAGTGCAACGACAATATTTGCTTTGGTCTCAAAATAAGAGCTTGCGGGATGTGCCGCGATATCTCTGTGCCTAAGATGAGGCAAGATGGTGCCGAAGAAGCCCGCGCAGCGCAGGGCAGTCAGTGGTTTCTGAAATAGGGGTAACCTTATTGTGGTTTTGTAAACGCGAAACCCTAAGCCCTAAGCCTTAAGCCCTAAGCCTTAAACACTAAACCCTAAACCCTACTATTTAGGCATCAAGGTGGGAGTCCCGTATTTACCATTCCGCAGGCTGGGGTTTCAAGCCGGAACCGCGTCACCAACGTGTCAACGCGCACATCACTTTTGGCTGGCCGCTTTCTGCAACCTCTTCCCGATTACTTGCTTGAGAACCACCCGAAAAATAAAGCAGAATTTAGTAGCCCTTACAAGGAACATCTCTAATTAGGAGGGGTTCTGCGGCAAATTGCCGATGCTTCCAGGGAGGCAACTGTGCCCCGACCATTGCTCGTAGATTTGGCATGGTGGGAGACGAAGGGGAAACACAAAACGACACAAACTGGCGCAGACCCAGCAGAGCCATCCACGCAGCAAACCAATAACATGTACATCGAAGGATGGTGGATGCACATCTTAACCCAAAACCCTGAACCCTAAACCCTAAACCCCGCCCTGGTGTCGGGGCCGGCGACGCGTTGCAAACCATGAGGTCAGCTCGTGCTTGCGAGCCGTGCAGATGATCAGATGCACATCATGAGCATGCAGTCTCGTGCACATCATGGTGTGCGGCTGCCGACATAAGACGTGCATGACTTGCAACTTGACAGGCCCAAACCTGGATGCAACAAACCCTGGGCAAAAAAAAGGCCCGCAAGCCCCGGAACCGTGTTGTGCAATAAAGCAGGCTGTCGTATGCAATGTGAAAAGGGTGCAACGTTGCATTTGATGCATGGTGCACGAGGAATCACGATGAGTCGCATCATCCTGTGCCATGCGCTGACGCTTCTGACGTCCGAGTCCAAAACCCTGTTCAAAGCGAACATGGTGCAGCCGGAAACGGATTCGATGATTCAAGCAACTGTTCTTGCACACATGGAGAATGCATGTTGACGAAACCGTCTGTTGTGTTTCAACGCATGCTTCTAGATGCATACATGTAAGTTTGCTGGCGCACATAGAGTGGTTGTAGTTGTAGGGCACACGAGATACGCACAAGTGGAACTGAGTGTTGCATGGCTGCATCTTGGTGTTCACGAAAAACATGACTCGATATGAATCGTCGAAGAACTTCATAGGCTGCATGCGACAAGCCAGCACATGTGTCCGCAAACGCCAGGATTTCGCGCAGGTGCACCAGACTCGGTCGTGCCCACGCAGAAAAACATCAGTGAGCACCGGAAGCATGTCGCTGTGAGCCCCCTGAAGATCCCTAAACGCTGCCTAAACGCCATTGGCCAAACTTCAGGGCTAACCGTCTCGGCACCAGGCAACCGCGCCGCCGTACATGCTGCCAGCTTGGCAAGCAGGAAAAGCAAAGTCAGCAACATCATGCCACCGAAAAACCAAGGCTTCCATGTGTGCACCCACACAAAGTTGGACCGGGCAAGCTCGGCACAATGAAGAAAGCGCGGGGCAGGGGGCTGTTTTGCCAAACCGCCGTCTCAGCTTCGTTTGCGACAGCATGGCATGCAGATGCGCTTTTGGGCAAAGGAAGCCCGGCGATTATAGCGCCACCTTTCTTTCGCGGGGGAATTGCGGCTTCAGTAACATGCAGGCGTGCTGCGAATCGTCTTCGCGGCACGCTTCGAAAATGAATGGCATCTTCATCCGTAGTTGAGAGTCGCACTGGCCGTACCTAGTTTCTGATTTCGGGGTGAGAACAAACCGACGAACAGCACAGAAACATCATGAAACAACGTCGGAGGTGCTCGTTGGCAGAAGAAACACCGAATGCTGTCGGGTTCAGTGCGCTCTCTCATGGGATGGCCCGGATGACGAAAAACAACGGATGCGAAACTGAAGATTCGAGGCGGCCGCTCAAGCGGAGGCTGCGGAATGGAGCTGTAGAGGACACCAGGGTGCACGGGGAGCAGGTCGGCGGGAACGAAGGCTGCGAAGCGCGGCCAGAGCGCTTGGCCCGGGCGCTACGAGACTGTGACTAAGGCTGCTGCGACCCCCGGCCACGCTTGCACGCCGGAGCGGCCCAGCCGCCACTGCAGGTCCGCGCACCCTCCCTGGGCGGCGGCGGCAGGTTTTTCAACTTTTCGACTGAGACCTGCTGCGTGCCTGCGGGTGTAGCGACCGGAGATGTGGCACTTCGGAAGGCCAGGCTTCTCAGGGGCAACTACGAGACTCGGAGCCCAGCGGCTGACGCTTCCAGGCTGTGGCGTACATCGTTTGATTTGTTGCATTGATTATTGTTGCCACACAGAGGTGTTTCGGCTGTGCACATATGCACAGTCGTGCGTCGTCCGGCGTTGCCGCAAAGCTGGCGTCATGGTTTTTGCGCAACCCCGCCACGCCATGCCAAGGATTGCAACCTCTAAGGTCGGCTCGCAGGTGCGGTTGTAGGGCGCGCGAAGCACGCAGACTTGGAACACAGTCGCGCGAGGGTGCATCGGCCCAGATCGTGACATGTAGAACCGCGTGGCACGTGCACATGCGCAATGGCGGCCATGGCCTGGTTTCGGGATAGGGGCTTAGAGGGTTGCCAGTCAAAGCGTGTATGGGCCGCAGGGGGCTCTCATACACACGACACCTGTAGGCACAAGACGACTTTCGGACATGAACCTAAACCCAAAACCCAAAACCCAAAACCCAAAACCCTAAACCCTAAACCCTAAATCCTAAACCCTAAGCCCTAAACCCTGAACCCTAAACCCTAGGCCCTAAACCCTAACCCTAAACCCTGAACCCTAAGCCCTAAACCCTAGACCCTAAACCCTAAACCCTAACAAAAAGACGCTAAAACTAAGACCCTTTTGAAATGAAGTCGGAGGCGCACGCCCAGCGAAATCACCACGCCCGCGAAAAGCAGAACCAGGCCAATCCTCACTCGTTCACTGCTCTCAGAAACCCTTTTGCATGCAATCAGGATATTTAGGGGTTTCCGAAATTAGTGGGTTACCTTGTTGGGGTCCTTAGTATAAGGGGATCCTACTATATTTGGAGATCTCTTGTGGGGGTCCCCATTTTCGTAAACCCCCATATGTACATCCCTCCTCCCCCTGCTTCTCTTAAGCTGTCGTGGCACAGTCTCCCTCGCCCTATACACCCTCGTCGCGACGTGCGAGGCGGCCGGTTCGTGGGTTTCGGCATGAACCCATCCGGGGCTACGGAGGCTGTCAGAGCTGGGCTTGGAAGCTTAGGGCGCTTTGCTGGCGAGGTGGCCACATTGCCTGGGCCCGAGCGGGGGTTCTTGGGGCACAGCTTGCCATGGTTACCGCGGGAGAAGTGAGGCAGTAAACGCGAATGAGCATCGCCAAGGCGTTCGTGCAAAAACTTGGAGGCAAGTCCCTACACCCCATGTTCCTTGGGACTCTGTGGCCACTTCTCAAAATTTAAAATTAGGGAACACCCCATTAGCCCTAAACCCTACACCCTAAACTACCCTAAAACCCGAAAAACCTAAAACCCTAAAACCCTAAAACTCTAAAACCCTAAAACCCTAAAACCCTAAAACCCCAAAACCCTAAAACCCTAAACCCCTAAAACTCTAAAACTCTAAAACCCTAAAGGGTCTATGTGGACATGCGAGGCTCTGATCGATCATCGGCAGGGCCGATGCGATCCAGGAGTCGTCCTTCCTGAGTTGGCCATTGAAAGCTTTACACAATGTTTATATATAAAGGGTTTAGGGCCTAGGGTTTAGGGTTTAGGGTCTAGGGTTTAGGGTTTATATATCCTAACAAGGGAAACATTAAAAATACCCCAATGCCGAGCTAGCTTCTTCAGGAACGTTGAGGCGTACGCAGCTCCTTGTGGCAGATGGCCGAGGCTACAAGGTTACAAGCTCCTGAACCCCCAACCGAGGCTCATGGGATGACAGGTGCATGACGGTCGCCCTTGAGGACTCACTCGCTGACAGGAGATTACCCCCCGTGGGTTTTAGGGCTTGGGTTTCTTTTGTTTTAGGGTTTAGGGTTTAGGGTTTAGGGTTTAGGGTTTAGGGTTTAGGGTTTAGGGTTTAGGGTTTAGGGTTTAGGGTTTAGGGTTTAGGGTTTAGGGTCACCCGGCACCCAGGCCTAGACCCTATACTACCCAGCGTCTGTAAGGTAACTGCGGGCGCAGCACTCTTTTACTATGAGCTGATGGAGGTGGAGTGACCCGGTTTCGGGTCCAGGGAGGCTTCTCAAAGGTATATACAATGGTTTGAGGGTCTTCAAGGCTTTAATTCCTTGGATGTATGACCAACAGACGATCCAAGAGGTTTTCAGCAATGTTCTCTTGTCCTGTCGAGGGAAAAAGCCAAAAACAAACAGAAGAAAGGAGGAGAAAAACAACCCTAAACCCTAAACCCGAAACCCCAAACCCTAAACCCTAAACCCTGTGAAGCCTGCACCGGCACCCGCCCTGTCCTAGTGCCACGTTTTGCACCACCTCCACTTTGTCTGGCGCAGCTCTGCAGAAGACTCCCGAGGATCTAGTCCGAACCGGGCTTGCCGTGAATGCCTTGGATTCAATGCAGAAGCAGAAAAAAACAGCCGCAGTTGGCCAGGAAACCACAAAGTCCTACAGACCCAAAAGCTCAAAATTCTCAAGCTCCATGTGTGCAGGCACGTGTGAAATTGGCAGAGCTGTGTTGGTGGGAGTGCCGAAATGCGCTAGTCTACTAGGCGTAGGCCATGCCACCCTACTTATCAACTCTCCAAGCGCGATAAATCCTTGTCAGCTCGAAAAAGCCGACAACGTGAAACGGGACCTCGAAGCCCCTAAAGCCTAAACCTAAAATCTAAACTCCAAACCCCAACCCTGAACCCAGTTCAACTAAGCCTAACACCTTGAGCCCCAATCCCCATGATGCTTGGACTCAGGTGCCAGTGAAGAGAGGAAGTACAAGGAGGCGACGGTCAGAAACCTGACGGGTGGAAGGGCTTCGGGTTAAGTTCGGGTTTGGTGTCTATAGCGTTAACCACTACACCTCCCCGCAATACTGCAACAGCCTAGAACCCCTCAACCTCGACAACCATGACTCCTGAAGACACCCAACCTGCAGATCATATTCTGCCTTGCTGAAATCGGCAATGAGGTTGAACAGGATCTGAGGATTATGGGCGTGGCTCGACCTCTTCGTCCGTCGCGCTACAACTGCTCCTGTGCTACCCCTACGCCACCTCTGCTACTAATCGAATGATACAGACACTAACAAAAATATATCAAAATTGCAGCAAGAGTAACTCAAAAAAGATCCCGAATTGCCGCTCAGCTAAATCCTTCCGGCCCCACACCCTGTGCCCTCAACCATACTTGGAGGTCCAGGGCACTTCGTAGCCCATTCTAAGTGTAGCTACCACCCACATATAAGCCCCTCAAGTACCCTAATGGGGGGGTTATAAGTGCAGTTATAACTGGGTTACTGAGTACCCCTCAACCCGAAACCCTAAACCCTAAACCCCCAAACCCCTAAACCCTAACTGGGTTACTCAGTACCATGAACCTCCAAGTAGACGCTGAACCCTGGCATCCAAATCTTCTTCCCGGCCAGGCAACTGCCCCAGCATCTTCGTGCGCCGGCTTGTGCCCACCATCCTGTTTAGGGTTTAGGGTTTGGGGTTTAGGGTTTAGGGTTTAAGGTTTAAGGTTTAGGCTTAGGTTCATGGGTGGTTTTGAGGGGCACTTGCCAGACTGAGCGGTTGAGGGACCAGGTCTGGGGGTTCAGAGATTTGGGGCTTAGCCTCCAGGCATTTGCTTCTGCTTTGCTGCAGGCGCATGAAGGCACATCGACAGTCAGACCGGCCTAAGTCCTGCATCCTGAGCCCATACCTGCCGGCGCGAGCCGGAATTGCGCTTGCACAATCATCTCGTCAGCGTCGCTTACACCTGAACCCTCAAGCTCCCAAAAACCAAAGCCCTTAAAGCCCCTTGCTCCGTGAACTCCGGAATCCCAACAGACCTCTACCCTCAGACTCTCTAACCACCCTAGGGTTTAGGCTTTAGGGTTACACTCTCTGCCTTGCAATCCGGCCAGCACCCAGGCCGAAACCGCTCATGGCCAGCATAGGATCGACGGTTTAAGTTCTCGGGCTTCTGGGGTGCAGAGACGTTTTGGAGTTTAGGGTACGATCATTGGGCTAAGGCTTTAGGCGTAAGGGCCTTGAGTGCAAGGCTTTCGGATAAAGGGCATTGTGAGTGAGCTTCATGTTTAGGATTTTGGTAAGGGTTCAAGGCTTGAGAATGTTCAGGATTTGGGTTCTGGGATGGTGCTCGGCTCTGTGCGGGGGCCAACTGATTGCGCTTGGTGGGCACTTCACCACTTGGTTGGGCCAACCCCAGCAAAAGCCCCCTGCTTTCAGAGTCCACGCTCCAGGGGGGTGGGGGGGTGCGGTGGGGTTTGAGCATTTAGGGTTTGAGGGGCTTGGAACTAAAACCGTAGAGACTCTAGGGTGTTGGAAACTCGGGTTGCTCATAGTGTAGAGCGCCTGAAGCCCCTAAACCCTCAACCCATGGGGAAGGTTTAAGTCTAAGCTACACTGGCATCTGCGGCTAAGGACGTTGGGTATGCCTATGTCTATGCATACATATACATATACATATATATATATGTATGTGTATAGTCACAGATATACATACTCATCCAGCAGAATATGTCAGCGCTTTCCCTCTTCTTTGACCAAGTCCGTTGTCCAGGGGCAGGCTGGCGTGTTGCATACGAGCTCGGCTCTCTTGATCTGAAACGGGGTTAGGGTCTAGGGGTTAAGGTTTAGGGTTTTGCGTTTGTCTTGCGAGGCAAAAACACAAGCGCCATTTTGGTCGTTGGGTTCCCATGAAGACAAGGCCCCGTATGCATATTATCAGAATAATTCTCGGACAGCGGACGAGAGCAAATATTCGGGAAATGGTGCTTCTTCCACAACTGTGACTCTCAAACCCTACCAATCACTAGGCTCTAACCCCCTAGTATAGGGCATGACCCCGCAAACTAGTTCAGCAAAACCCTAACCCTAAACCCTAAACCCTAAACCCTAAACCCCAAGTGAAATGCCTGTACTCTTCAATCGCTTTTCCTGCGCACGGGTGTCATCTTGTCTCCTGGCAGGGTAGCACCAAGTTCCGCAGCAAAGGGTTTAGGGTTTACTGTAGGGTTAGGGTTTAGGGTTTAGGGTTTAGGGTTTAGGGTTTAGGGTTTAGGGTTTAGGGTTTAGGGTTTAGGGTTTAGGGTTTAGGGTTTAGGGTTTAGGGTTTAGGGTTTGGCTAGACACCCTCCAAAAGCGTACCACTGGGCATCCCGATTCAGGGTGCTGGGGAGCAACGACTTGGCGGCTGGAAAACGGCTATCAAGACGCAGGCTTAGTAGTCCCTACTCTCTACGAAGTGGAAGCCTAAACCCTGTACCCTGAACCCTGAACCTCCAAGTTTCCTAAGCATGTAAGTCGCAGCTTGCAAGACGCTGCTGCACCCCAAGAACAGGCTTCACGAAGGACGCATCTCCCCCCGAAAAAAGCCAAGCCAAAGTTATGGAAGTCCCAGCTTCGCGCATGCCTAAACCCTAAACCCTAAACCCTAAACCCTAAACCCTAAACCCTAAACCCTAAACCCTAAACATATAAAGGGTTAGGGTACGGTATACTGATGGAATGAGATCTTGAACCACCCCCGGCGTCAAACAAAAAAACGGGCTGTACAGCCTCTTTATAGGTGGGACGGGGTCAGGTCAGGCCGAGTACGTGCGCACGTGCGATGTTAGCCCTGAAAGTCCGCGCATAGTGCAGTCAAGTTGAAACAGCTTGCTCTCAACCCATCCAAATGATCCTGAACTGCGATCTGGGTACTTGAAGGTTCATGGTACTTATTAACCAATTATAACTGTACTTGTAACTGTACTTATAAGCCCCTCAAGTGCCCTAATAGAGTTATAATTTGGGTTATAAGTACAGATATAATTGGCTACTAAGTACCATGAACCTCCAAGTAGTATTTGCCTGACTGCCTTTGAAGGGCGGTGCGACTCAATGCGCCGAATCTATGGCTTTTACTGAGAAGCCACCCGCTGTCACGCGACACGTGCTGTGAATGTGTACACGGCAACTGCCTACTGCAGTTGGATGAGGATTTTGACCGAGACCCTCAAGCTATGACGACTTGAAATGCTAAGTCTTTCAGCGTGGTAGGGCTGGCCACTGTGTTCAACTCGAAAGCTGAAACTGGAAAGTGTAAACTGTAAAGTGTAAACTGCAAAATATAAATGGTGAACTGTGAACCCTAAACCCGGCCATAAAACAAGACACAAGACACGAGGCACCTTCTTCGTCTTCTCCTTCTTCTGCTTGCGCTCTTTCGGCTTCTTTGAGCCGGCCTTAGAGGGGCATCGAAGTGCCATGAGTAGCCGGCAACGCACAGGGGTTTAGTTATAGGGTTTATGCGGTGTATAGGGTCTATAGGGTTTATAGGGTTTATAGGGTTTCTAGGCCGGCCGAACCATGGAACTGTCGTCCACTGGCCCCGAATTCAAGCCTTCAGACTCTACACCCTCCGTCTTTTTGCAACCTCCGCCTATTCTGCCAAGCTCACAATGCCTGTGTTGTAATCTTCAAACGACCCTAAACCCTCAACCCTAAACTCTCAACCCTAAACCCTATAACCCTAAACCCCAAACCTTGATGGTGCTTGGGTTCAGGGTTTAGGCTTTGGGGACTGGGCTGGGAATGGCTATTCTGCTCCCAACCTCCGCATGTAGCCCTAAATCTCAAGTGACCCCTAGTAGTCCTAAACCCTACCTAAACCCTAAATAAACCCTAAACCCTAAACCCTAAACCCTAAACCCTAAACCCTGAACCTTATAAGCCCTAATTACAAGCCCTAGAAGCTCTGTCTGCAACCCCTACATCAGCCCTGTAAACCCCTGCAAAACCCCAACATGCAAATAACACTTAGTATAGGGGCCTTGATAATTTGATAGGGTTTGGGGTTAGTATAGTAGAAGTATAAAGGGACTATAAGGGAATACCACTAGGGTTTAGGGTTTAGGGTTTAGGGTTCAGGGTTACCCTTATAGTAAACATAAGTAAACTACTGTCTCATTTGGGTGCCCGGGCAGATGCAGTTGGCTTGGGCATGTGCTGCTTCAGCAGCTCTGCCGCCTTCATCAGACATTTCAGGTCCTAAGCCCTAAGCCCTAAGCCCTAAGCCCTAAGCCCTAAGCCCTAAGCCCTAAGCCCTAAGCCCTAAGCCCTAAGCCCTAAGCCCTACACCCTAAACCCTAAACCCTAAACCCTAAACCCTAGCAGGGGCTGATCCACATCCGGGCCCTTCGTTGGGTCGCTGTGGTCGTAAAACTGCATTCAGGGGCTAAGGGCCCTTGACGCCTAAATGCAGCAAAACCCAGGCCAACGGCATTTGCCCCCAACCCTACACCCTATACACCCGTAACTTCCCTCAACCCTAAACTGGGCTGCCTGTATACTATATAGTATACTACATAATATACTGTATAGTACACTGTATAGTATGCATGCATCCTAGACCCTGAACTCGAAAGTCTACATCCTTCTACATCCCAGCCAGTGTTGAACTCTGACCCCCCCCCCCCCCCAAAAAAAAAAGAAAAAAAGAAGTGAACCCTGCAACCTAGGGCGTACACACACTACACTATTATAGTAGACTCTAATATACTATAGGAGACTATAGTATATAGTATTTCAAGCCTACAACCCCATAGACCTTCAGCCTTGTGAAAGCTCTGAGAAAACTCAGCTCTGCAGTCTTGATCGGGTTCGGGGCGCGCAGGCCTGATAGGGTTTGGAGTTAGGGTTCAAAATTTTGGGTTTAGGGGGTGTTGGGTTTCGGGGGTTTAGGGTTTAGGGTTTGGGCCGGGTTTAGGGTTGTGGGGTTCATAGAGTTCAGGGCTGAAAGCTGAAAGCAAGATGGCATGGACCTTACAACCCTAGACCCTCAAGAATCATTACACACAAATGCCAGTTGCAAGCAAGCTACGTGGCCCGAACCCTAAACCCCTAGAACTCGTCGAACCCTGGACCCTGAGCCCCTCCAACCTTATGAACCCTAAACACCAAACCCTAGCTCGGCCAAACCCTAAACCGCCAAACCCAAAACCCCGAAACCCAAAAACCAAACCCAACACACCTAACCCTAACCCCTGAGCCCTATGTGGCGGCATGGGTAGTTCTCTAATTTAGGGTCCCTTCTTGGGATCCCTTTTTAAAGGGTGCCGCCTCATAATGACCCTATCAACCCTAAACCCTGAACCCTAAACACAAAAAAAAATACCCACGCGCCTGCGTGTGTCCAAAGAGTTCAGCCAGATGAACTGCTTGTCGCTCCTGACCCCTCGCCTGATGAGGGGGTTCGGATCTTGGGTTATAGTGTTCCTACAGGGGTTTCAAGGGTACATAACCCATTGTTCCCTAAAACTCCCTAATGCTCCCTACTACTCCCTGAGGCTCCCTAAGCTTCCCGAAGGTTCCTTAGGTTTCCAATGAACGCCCCTCCCTTAAGAACCCTTTAATTAGGTTTCGGGTTACGTTGCTACAAGCTTGGTTTAGGGTTTAGGGTTTAGTGTTTCAGGATTGGGTTTAGGGTTTGGGGTTTGGGGTTTGGGGTTTGGGGTTTGGGGTTTGGGGTTTGGGGTTTGGGGTTTGGGGTTTGGGGTTTAGGGTTTAGGGTTTGGGGTTATAGGGTTTAGGGTTTAGGGTGCAGGATTCCAAGTCTAGAGGTCGGCTTCTGCAGGCAGCGGGAGCTGGGACGTAGGAAGCGAAGGGAACGGGAGTGAGTAGGTTTAGTTCTAGGGTTCTTGAGGGAGGGGGGGCTTCAAGGGGTAGGTACCTAGGGAACCTTAGGGCAGCTTAGGGAGCCTTCGGGGAGTAGCAGGGAGCACTAGGGAGTCTTGGGTTCCATACCCCCCCTTGAACCCCCTTGAACCCCCCCTCCCTTAAGAACCCTAGAATTTAGGGCACGTAGGGCCACTGTAGGGTTCAGGGGCTTCGTGAAGCACGCACTGTGGAACCTGGGCCCTTTCACTCCCTGTGGCTCTCGCAAAACAGCCTGCAGACGCTGGCCTACTTGTGAAAAAATCCTCTTCTCAAGGAGAACTGACTAAAGGTTAAACCTTTGGGCAAAAACTCAAAAACTCCAAAACCCTTTGGGCCCTAGCACCCAAGAAAGCCAAAACCCAAGAGCCCAAAAACCCAACAACCCAAAACCGAAGACCCCTTCAAAAACATTACAAAACAAAAGCAACGAGAAAACCCTAAAGACCCTAAAGCCCCAAAACTCCAAAAAACCGGTGCCGTCGCACCCCAGGCAGCTTTTCACCCCAAACCCCTAAACCCTTACACAACCCTCAAAACCCAGAAGCCCAACAAAACCCTAAACAACCCTAAAAAACACGAAAACACCCTAAACAACCTTAAAAACAAAAAAACAAAACAAACAAAACCCCAAAACACCGTCGCACCCCGGGCAGCTCTTCATGCACGGAAGCTTTGGCCGCGAGCAGCGCCTCGTCCCGCAAGGCGACGAAGTTTCGCTTGGAGGGTTTAGGGTTTAGGGGTTTAGGGTTTTTTAGGTCTTTAGGCTTTAAGGGTTTTGGGTTTAGGGTGTAGGGTTTAGGGTTTAGGGGATAGGGTTTAGGGTTTGTAGGGTTTAGGCTATTAGGGGGGTTAGGAGTTCCGGGTGTGGCTGAGGCCCAAGTGGAACAAAGGGTGTAGGGTTCAGGGTTAGGGTTTGGGGTGTAGGGTTTAGGGTTTAGGGTTCGGGCACCTTTGTCTATACTCCCCTGAGAGCCTTAATGAAAATAATATTCTTCATATCCTCTTGGGTTTTATAGAAACAAAAACAAAAATGATTCCCAAGAAGGATAGAGTTGTTCCTACAAGTAGACGCCTACTGTGAGGTTTAGGCTTCGAGGGGCTTAGGTTTAGGTTTCATTTCTCTTGCTCGGTTTTGTACTTTTTCTATGGCCCCTTTTTCATTGTCGGGGGTTTTGGGCTTGTGTGGTGGGGCTCATCGTGCATGGCCCGAACTGACTGCCCCTTCCAGTGCTTTGCGTCGCCGCCATCAGGAGTCCGAGTGATGCCGCTTCCCGCGTGGAGAACGGCTCTGTGCAGCTGTACAATGCAACCGGCTTCCTTACGGCAAGGACACATAACCTCGAAGGATTCAACAGCAATATCTGGAAGCCACCACCCACCAATTGCCAAACCAGGCTCGTGCCGCACTCGCTTGGGGAGCTCACTGATTTGGCTTCATGTATGAAAAGGACCCTGCCTTTGCTTCAACTAGCCCACTGCCCTCCTCACTCCCTCAGATCGCTCCGTGAAGCAAACGCCAGCACAGATTCCGCAGAGGCCCACGCGCATGCTTTGCATGCAGGTGCAGACCTCAACAATGGAATGGTCGAGGATTGACGCAGTGTCTCCTTAGGCGCTTGAGCGCCATGTCACGATGCGAAGTAGTCTAAACCACTGTCAACTCGCTGCTGACTTAAGCTTTACACAACTTGGGTAGAATTGGGGTGTCGCTGCTACTCCCACTCGCCGCTGGCAGTCTTAAAGGCGCTGCGGACCACGACCTGAATGGCATCCTCGTCGCAGACTTGATAGGAAGCGAGCTCCCGGACGTTCTGCATTTTTTGCCTAGGATGGCCCTTAAAAACCCTCTGAAGAATATTCCTGAATATGATCCTCTTGAACCTTAAGACAGGAAAAGAAAGAAATGTCCCAAGGGCCTACCTAGCTGCCCACCGTAGATGAGATCGACTCGACTCCAGGGGTCCACATCCAATGCCTTCTCAACAACGACCTTGAATTGCAGGACCGTGTGGTGTGGGTTCACCAGCAGAGCGCCCCCGGGGATTGGGCTGCCCGAAAGGTAGGTGAGCTTCAGGCTTATCTCCGCGACCTGAGCATCGGATCCTTCCGCAGGGGGCTCTGAGTCAGGTTCCTGAAGCGATGGAGGCATGGCTGCAAGATCTGCTTGTTGGGGGCTTGCTGAACTTCTCGAGCCTAAACAACATCGTGGCTTGTGACCCTAAACCTCGTCCTGCCTGCGTATGCCGACAACCAACCCTGCCCCCTAGGGTTGAGTTCAGGGTCTTTCCCCGACATGGCACCCTACTGTCCTCCGTTTGACTGCCGTCACCACCAAGACTTCGCCAGTTGGTAGCCCAGTGACTATACCCTATGAGAGTGTACCGTTTTTGGGGTTGGTTTCTTTACAAGGGAACCTTGAACAAAAAAAGGGGGGAAAAGGGTACCACTGGGCTACCAAGACCGTTTGAAACCAGACGGCCAGACGGCAATTTAGCAGCATAGGGAATCTTCCCCAAAACCCCAAAACCCTAGACCCTAAACTCTAAGCCCTAAACCCTAAATCCTACTAAAGCTTACCATCGTGCCCACAACTCGAAGCACAAACCCGCCTCAAGCGTGCTTCTGTGGCCACCCATGGCCGCCAGCATCAGCGGCGTCACCCCGCCACTCGCCACACAGTCGACCTGTTCTAGGAGGTTAAGGTTTAGGGTTTGGGGTTTGGGGCTTAGGGTTTAGGGTTTACACAGTCGACCTGTCATAGGAGCAGAGATTTTGTGTGTTTCGGTTCCCTAAACCTATACTCTGAAGGGGGTCATATAGGAGTATGTCTTTTGTGTTTTCGGTTCCCTAAACCCGTACTCGGAAGGGTGTCTTGAATTTTCTGGGTTTGGCGGCAATCCCCACAAAGATCGCCTGGCGAACAGTAGGATGAAGCTTGTGTTGCAGGCCCACAAGCGTTCGAGAGTTTACATTGCAGGGAGCGTCATCATAGTTGAACATGGGGGGATTACCGAAAAACGGGAAAACCCCTCATATACCCCAACGAATAGGAATCCTTTTTTTAGGATCCCAACAGGGTACGCCTGCTGTGGGACCACACCCCCACCCCTCAACGGAATGTCACTGCAGCCGGCTTCTCAAGAGCACCTGCAGGTCAAGGGATCAAGACTCGTTCTTGTAAGGATATACCCCAAAGACGTTTCCCCTAAAACATTCCTAATATTGCCCTTATATCCCCATAGCGGACCTTGAAAAAGGGTCCCCAAACCCAAGGGTGCAACCGTCAGGGTCCAAGGTAGAAGCTCATGAGCAAAAGTATCAGCATCTGCAGACCCTAAACGGTTCAGTTCTCATTTGGTGTAGGGCTACGGTTTAGGGCTAGGGTTTAGGGTCGCCTCGTTGGACCCGAAACGCTAGCTGTCAGAGCCCTCCATCGGCAACATGAACGTGTATGAGCCTGTGCTTCGGCGTTGAGAAGCACTGACACAATCTTGCTGCAACCGTGGGCCTCAGCAGCTGTGGCTGAAGGTATTGGGGCCCAGGCTAACTTGGAACGGTTGAGGGTTTAGGGTTTAGGGTTTAGGGCGGACAGTGCACGATTGTTGATGCGTGTAGTGCCTGGAGACATGCACGGCGCATGTCGCGTTGACAAGCGCTGGTAGTGAAAGCCGGATGGTAGACGAGCATCAGACCATTCTAAAGCCGAGAAGTGCATGGTATTTTTGGGCTATACTAAGGGACTCCTGCTTTGAGAAATACTTTGAGTAACTTGAAACACGCTCAAACGCCCTGAGCGACAGAGTGGGTGTGTTGAGAGTTGAGAAGCGAAATGCACTGAAAAAACCGGGCACCATGCAGCAGCAGCGTGAAGGGGAGTGTACCTCTCATGAAAAGTGCTTCTGCCCAGATGAATGAATCGGGCATCACCCTGCACGCTACACCTTACATCTTCTTTACCAGGTGTGTTGAGCACGAGAGCTCGTGCGTTACCAGCAACCGCAAAGTCTACAAAATCGTACGGGCAGGAGCTGGCTTGCAGAGTCCTGGACCTAGGCTCACCCAGGCAAAGCCCTAGACCCCAGACGCTATGAGACCCTAAGACGCCCAGACCCTGAACCCCAAAACCTGAAACCCAAAACCTGAAACCCAAAACCCCAAACCCTGAACCCCAAAGCGTAAACCCTAAACCCCATAACCCATAACCCATAACCCTAAACCCTAAACCCCCCTAACACGCTTGGGGCGCACCCATGGTCGGTAGACGCGGTCGCGGGGACTCGGCTCGCCAAAAGCGCCTGGACGGCTGAGACCTCACTGACAGGGTTTGGGGCTTCTAGGGAGGGTTTAGGGTTTAGGGTTTAGGGTTTAGGGTTTAGGGTTTAGGGTGCGGGGTTTAGGGCTTGTAGGGCTCTTAGGTTTACCTCACCTGAAAGTGCACATGGTCAGTTCTCTGAAGTATGGACCCTTTGGGGTGCCCTAGATAAGAGGGGCCGCCTTACAACAAGGACCCCAAAAGAGATCATCATCCAGAGCTGACCACAGCTCTTGGGTCGACCCCGGCCATTCAAAGGGCTTGCTGGTCTTCAGGCATCGAGGCAGGCTGAGGCTAAGCCCTATAGCCTCTAAAGTAAACCCTATACGCCTAGACCCTGCATAAACCTTTGATTCTCTGAGGCCGGTGATTTCCTTTCTTGGCCTTTCAGCGCTCCTAGACCCAAGACGTGTCTTAAGGATTCAGGGCAGCAGCCCTGAAGCAAACCTGAGCCAACCTGAGGCTTGAAGCCCTAAACCTGCTGCTGAGGCTACCGACGGACCCGTCCGCGCACGCCCTTCGCAAGTTGTCCTCAACCACATGTTGGGACGACGGCCCCTCCGGTCCAACTAGGCTTCAGGGCCCAAACTCCCACTTGGATCCCCTAGCTACGAGTTTAGGGAAAGTTTAGAGGTTTAAGGGTTGCATAAGCCCTAAACCGAAACCTTAAACCTTAAACCTTAAACCCTAAACCCTAAACCCTAAACCCTAAACCCTAAACCCTAAACCCTAAACCCATGCCATCGCGGGCGGCCTTTTGGGCTTTCTGGGGTTGCTAGGCAAGCTCTTCTGTTCAGAAGCACAGGGCAACAGTCCTCCGCGGTTCGTGGCGGCCGCGCAAACCTGAGAATGCCAGGGTTTGGGGTTTGTCGTGTTTAGGTTTCATTGGGTTTAGGGTGTATTCGGTTTTGGATTCAGCTCTGGGCTTGTGTTTGCGATAGCTCTGCATGAAGCAGTCGCGAGCTGGAGGCAGCTTCAGGAGAGCCAGAAGCAGCAGCAGGCCCATCGATTCACTGAAAAGAGCCACAGCTTCGGAGACAATCTGTCGGAAATGTATCATGTCTGCCAGTATTTGATCACCCTGAGCTGCACTCAGGTCATCCTGCTTGGACATGGTTCCTACTCCATGGGGAGGAGGCGCGAGGGAGATTGCTCTGCATCCAAGTAAACCTGAGTCAAACCATTCCAATGAAATCCGAGCTCTGACTTTGCGGTTCTCTGTTGCCTACACCCTAAACCCTAAACCCTACATACATACATACTTACTTACATACTTTCTTACGTGCATTCATACGTACATACCTACAAAAGAAAAACCACAAAACAAGCCAGGGTTTAGGGTTTAGGGTGCTGGGTACCCTAGCCCCCCCAAAAGGTTAACCTTTTGCATATCGTAGGATTCTATGTAACCAAAAAAAGGTTAGAGGTTACCCACCCAGTCTCGAAGACAAGGCGCTGAACCCCTAAGCCCTGAGCCCTACCCCTGATTCTAGAATGACAGACTCTCAAGGGGTATAAGGAAGTAGGGACCCCAACAAGGGAATCTTAATCTTCTTCCCCTATATAACCGCTATCTACACCCCCTGAGGTCCCATAGAAGGGTCCCTCCTTCAGTCCCTTGAGACTCGGGGCCTGAAGTGATAATTACTCTTCAGCAACTAGGGAAAAAAGACCGAACTAGCGAAACTCTCCACTCTTGGCCCCCAACCCTAAACCCTGAACCCTAAACCCGAAACCCTACAGGTTTTTGAAGGATTCACATCAAGTCTCGGTGGGTCTGGGGCTTGAGGTCACTCCGCAACCAAGTGGAAACCCAAGAGCCCTAAACCCAACCCCTCTAACCCTAAACCCTAGACCCTAAACTCCCAACCCGAAACCCTAAACATCCCCAAGGCCCTAAACAACAACCCACCAAAATCCGAAGTGGGATGCGCCCTGGCCCAAGCTATTGAGGGTGCTCTGGGGTTTAAGGCTTCGGGTAGGTTTGAGAAAGGTTGCTCGGCTTGAGGCAGCACTTGTTGAAAATCGGAAGCCCCAGACCCTAAGCCTGCAACCTTGAACATCACGGCCCATCGACGTCGAGTGGCTTTGTTGCTGCTCGCTGGCCCTCGGGTTGAGGTTTTTGGTGGGTTGAGCTTGGGTGCTCGTTAGCTGAAGGTCATCGGAAAAAACCCTCGATGTGCAGCGTAGCTGAGGTTTGGAGCACCAGTTCTGAGGGTGGTTGGAACACATTCTTGGATCGGATTGCTGCACCTCAACAGTGAACAATAGGCTGTCCTCAACGTCCCTCAACGACCCCAAGAATTGCCCAAAACCCTCCGACTCCAGTAGACCCTCATCCCAAAGCCCTGAACCCAAAACCCAAAACCCCCTTATCACGAATGCGCGGCATTGGAGCCTTGGGTGTGCTCCGGCAAGAGGCCTTGTCTATTCCACATGCACTTTGCTGAAGGCCCCTCATGCTCCGCAAGCCCGAACCCGAAACCCGAAGATCGGCCCGAAAAGGCGCAGTCCGCGGAAGAAGCTCGGGTCCTGGCCCCACGGCAGCACCCGCGCGGAGCCTCCGAAGGGATGGTGTAGGGTTCCGAATTTCCCTTATTCCCCACTAAGAACAAGTAAAGTATCAGAAGATGAAGCTCAAGAGAAAAATGCAAGTCAACACGTTCCAGGTTCAGGGTACTAGGATTTCCGGTTTGGGCTCCGGGTTTGGGGTTGGTGGCTTTAGGCGGGCTTAGGGGTTTGCGGGATGAGGGGTTTTAGGGTCCTATAGGGTCTTGTAGGTTTTAAACTTAGGGTTTAGGGCTTAGGGTTCAGTAAGGGGTGGTTGCTGGAGACAAGCGGCACTGCGGCGTTTTCGAGTAAATCCTAACACCCCAAACCTAAAACCCAACATGCCTCCAAATCAACCCCCCAGAAATCCCCCCTAAAACCCAAAAAACCAAACGAACTACCTAATCCCGAAACCCTGCCCACCGGAAATCAAACCCCAACACCCCTGAACTACAGAAAACCACCACAGATCCATCTACTGCATAGGGGGTTCTCGTGTTGAAATGAGGTCTATTCCTGAGTTAGGGGGACGTGAGCCGTAACCCCTAGACCCTAAACCCTAATAGCCCATAACCCCAGACCCTAGACCCTAAAACTAATAGCCCTGACCCTAAACCCTAAACCCCAATAGCCCTGAACCCTAAACCCCAATAGCCCTAATTCCTAAACCCTAATCGCCCTAAACCCTAAACCCTAAACCCTAGTAGCCCTAAACCCTAGACACCCGTTGCCCCTCCATGCCTCATCGTCGTCGCCCTCGGACTCGAGGTCTTCGCTCGTCGACGAGGCCTCCCCATCCCCGACACCCCGGATAGAGTTGAGGGTTTAGGGCAATAGGGTTTAGGGTAATGGGGTAATAGGGTTTCGGGGTCAGAGTGTAGGATTCAGGTTTAGGGTACTAGGGCTTAGAGTTTCGGGTGTTGAGTGTTTGGGGTCGAGGGCTCCTGGGGCAGGTCGAAGGCGTTGAAGGTGTTAAGGGCGGCTTTAGGGTTTAGGGCCTTGAGGGGCCTTTGGCGGCCTGATCTGGCGTTGGAGTTGGAGATGCTCCGGAACCCTACTGCCTGCTCGCAGAACGAGGCGGACTTCTTGCTGTGGCCCTAGGCTAAAAGCCGAAAAGCTAAAACCTAAACCCTGCACCCTAAACAACAAACCCTAAACCCTAAACCCTAAACTCTAAACCCTACATGGTCAAAAGTAGGGTTGAGGGTTCAACCCAGAGTTGTAGGGTCTAGGGCTTAGGGTAGTTTAGGGCTTAAGAGCCACAGTCACCCAACTGCGGGCCTTGCTGATGATTACACTCCAAGAAGACCCTAAACCCTAAACCCTAAACCCTAAACCCTAAACCCTAAACCCTAAACCCTAAACCCTAAACCCTAGAAGCACTGAAGAACCCTCGGCTGCTTCATTTGCATAGGCTGGGCCCCGGGCAGAGTAGCCGCGCTGGACCCGCCTCCTAGAGCCGGAGAGGACATTTGAAGTAGGGTATATATTTCTTGTACCCCGAAAAGGGCACCAAGTATATACACTCACCAATATTAGAAAGGAACCTTATATACACTCACCAAAAAGAGTAATATACACCCTACTTCACATTTTCGGAGGCTTTAGGTGACTTTGGTGGGGTCTGTACTTGGAGGTTCATGGTACTTATTTAACCAATTCTAACTGTACTTATAGCTGTACTTGTACGCCCCTTAAGTGCCCCAATATGGTTATAAGTACAGTTGTAAGTACAGTGATAAGTGGTTCATAAGTACCATGACCCTCCAAGTAGGGCCTAGAAGGGCCTAGAATTTAGCGGCATGAAGCCCCACGAAATGTCAGGCGTGGAGTTTTGATGACTTTAACCTTTAAACCCTATGCCCGACACCCCAGGGTGAAGGATTGAAGTTCAGTGCTTTGAGGGCTTTGGGGTTCACAGGAGCACAAGAAAAATCCGGTTTAGGGTTTAGGGATTTAGGGTTTATGTGGTTGATGTTAGGGGGCTGAAGGAACTAGAGGTTAACGTGCAAAGACTCCATCCGAGTCTCGGCTAGGGGCAGTAGCTTTGTCGAGTATTGCTCGGGCTGGGCGCTTTGGGGAACACAAGCTTCGCAAGGCCGGGCAAACGTAAAGACATGTAGGTGGTTGTCAGAATTCTGGTCCCTATTATAATACAGCACCTGATATTTAGGGTACCCCCAAAAGGGATCAGAATTTTGACAACCACCCATATAGAACTGTCCCAGAGAAACCCAAGCCCTGAGTCAAGGTGAACCTTGGGATTCTTTCAGGATGCTACTCCCCGGCCCCCAGCAGAGTCGGTTCAAGGCTACTTTGCCGACTGCTGTGATGTTCATCCCTCGACCCTCACCCTAAATCCTAAACCCTAAACCCTAAACCCTAAACCCTAAACGCTAAACGCTAAAACCCCAAGCCCTCAACCTGCTTTGGGCCATATCGCAGCACAGAGGCTTCTTCGTCGACCGCTGTCCACCGCGGCGGCAGTGACACAATCCCATGCCTGGCCATCTTGGGCTTAGGGTTTAATCGCTCACACTCGGACAAGCCAGGCGAGGCACACACTTAGGGTTTAGGGTTTAGGGTTTGGGGTTTAGGGCTTAGGGTTTCGGGTTTGGGGTTTAGGGTTTAGGTTAGGGTTTAGGGTTTAGGATTTGGGGTTTAGGCTCTAGGGCTTGGGGTACCCCTGAACCCTAAAGCCTGGTCGCGAGCACTTGCAGAAGTGGATGGGCAGGCAATCCCCTGAACCCAGGCAGGTGTCAACCAAACCCAAACCCTAAACCCTAAACCTTATTTCAAGCGTTGGCCTGTTTAACTGTCAGCCACATATCTGGGGGAATGAGAGGGAAAAGGGCATGTAGCAAATCACGTCGCAAATCGTGTAAAGGAAAAGGGGCATGTAGCAAATCACGTCGCAAATCCTGTAAATGGAAAAGGGCATGTAGCAAATCACGTCGCAAATCCTGTAAATGGAACCTGTG